AGCCCTGGTCAATCGATAACGATCGGCGACTATCGGTAATCGTGGGATAATCCCACCAGCTATCTGGGCACACTAAGTACCATCTGGGGCCCATGGTACAATTATAAACAAGTATGGCCCCAGCATGGTAGAATTATACAAGGTAGTCTCGTCGGCTGCAAAATCGTTCGGGTTTTTTCCCCCCTATAGTTCAGTGCGCTCGGGATTTCGAAGTGAGAGGTTGTCCGCGGACGATTTTTTCTCAAAACGTTAACCCTTGTGTGCTTGTGAAAAATGCTTGTTGCAATTATTGCAGCAAGCACATACAAGGCGTAACATGTAATATTGCAGAAAAATATTTTGAAATGTGAACAATATGGGAGCTAGTCCTAAAGGGCAGCTTTGGGTAAAAACCAAAAATTACGGAACAATTAATACTCATTGTCATATAACAGTCCTTTTTAAACCCCGTGCACAGCATAAGGGTTTTACGACATCATCTTCTTCTGTTTCTTTCGCACTTACGGGAAAACACCCTCTCACTCGCACTCATTGTAGTGACCAATAGGGGGAAAAAAAAGCCGACGAGACTACCTTGTACTGGGGCCTATATAAGCAGTACCACGTCCTCATTCCAGTCACTTGTGCTCAGGCGTCTGATTGAGCAGCATCAAAGGGGTAAGTGTTCTGTTCTCTATTTCTGGTGGTGGTTTTCCGCAGAGTACGGATCTTTAATCGGCTCGCGACCTAGGAAGGATCACCTACGCCCGGTCTGGTTAGTAATAATCAACCTTTGGCCTGGTCAAGATCTCTGAGTCCGGTGTGATTTATCAGTCAGCCCAGCTCAGAGAGTTCCTCCTAGAAGTCACGCCCCGGCTTCCGACCCGGGAGCGAAGCGCAGTAGCATTGGACTCCTGCTGCATGACCCCACCTAAGTAGAGCGTTCCCCTGACGGACGAACAGAGCACGACGCGACAGCGGAATCCCGAGCCCATCGACAGCACTCCTAGCCGGCTCTTCAGCCGCAGCGACCGATCCAGCCTCCCAGCCGTAGGAACCAAACCGGACCTTCAGCCGACGGAGCCCCCGGCTCTATAACCGTAGAAACCACCCGGCTTTCCAGCCGCACGGAGCACCCGGCTCTTCAGCCGTAGAAATTAAGCCGGCTCTTCAGCCGCACGGAATACCCGGCTTTTCAGCCGCAACGGACATCAACGTAGCCCGGCCCTCCAGCAGCGCCAGACGTCGACATATTCATCGGCCCACCACGGGTGCCGAACAAAACACCGGATCAACACCTCTCGGCCCTCCAGAGCGCCGAGAAACCCAAACCAGACTATATCAATACCCCCTTAGATAAGCAAAATATACGACGAAAACACCTAAATACCCGACTATTATCAATATCCTTGTAATATTAGTTAATCCTAAGAGAAAATATACGAAGACACCCTCGACACCGCATTACCCCCTCGAGTTATTTTGGGAAAAGAGAAGGTAAACCGATCTTGAAGAGGGGCCAACTAGATAGGAAATTCTGTCTCGAACCCTGGCCATCGGCGAGCTATACCGCCTCCCGGAACAGGGTCGTTACAAAATTTAAAATTGCTATTTTATGCTCCCGACATTCACCTTCAAACCAACTTGGGGTTTCCATTTGGCATACTCTTAAAATTTCTTTCTAGATGCCAATCGTATGGGGCTTTGACTCAAAGAATTGTCGAAAAACATAAATGTGCTTGGTGCTAACCTCCATGAGGGCGTCCGAAGGAGCGAGAAGGTTGCCAAAATCATTTTTTTAAAATAGTTTTTATAAAAGATAAACAATTCGCTCGGCGCATTGATGGTTTCATCTTTTTTGCTCATATACAAATTTCACAATTTAGCTTCGGAACTGTTTTTAGGACTATGTAGCCTAGAAAATATCTTATTGATACCAACTTTATGTTTATTTCGCAAAAGGTTTTAAAAGAGTCCTTTTCGAAATAATCCACAAGGTTGGTATCAAAGTCAAATTTTGTAAAAACATCTTCCTAATTTAAATTATGGTTTTCAGCATGATTCGAACTATCCGAGGTATTGCTAATGCACTCTTCAACAAAAGTGTGCTCGTCAAAATCAACTTCACAATTACCCAAAGTGGAGGAACGAACTATCTTTGTGTTTAAAATTCTGGTGAAGATGTTATTTATTTCGGCAAGAGAAGGATTCCTATTGTTCCCTCATTTTTGCCTCACAACTGCAAAAGTATTTTCAAGACGATCTTGATTAAGAGATTTTGTAATAATAAAAACTTTTCAGAATCGCTTCTTCAGCCAGAAGAAGCGTTGCCTTTAAGTTAATTCTATGCCTTCGAGAAAATAAACACGCTTCTTTAAATTTACAAATTTGACATCCTTTATGTAAGCTAAAAAGGATGCAATGAATTTGTAAGGCTCATTATTTATTTGTAAGGCAGATCTGAACGAATTATCACCATACAGAGAATGGCTATTCATGCTATCAAAAATTTGATCGACATTTTGAATAAATTGGGCTGTCGATAGAGCCACATCTTTCGATGTCTTTTTAAATTGCACAGTTGTTGCAGTTGGAGTCGATTCCAGGGGAGCTATCGATAGGTTAGGTCAAATCGCGATGGTTAGGGCAGCGCCACCTTTTGGGCCATGGGCGAACCATCTAACATGTAAAATGTAAACATGTAACCTCGGCTTAGGGATTCTCTTAGATGGCCTTGAGGATGTCAAATGACCCATCTTAGAGAGAGATTAAAGAAGATGGCGAGGAACGTGGCGTGATGGAGCCGATCACCGTCAGTGGTACCGAGAAAAACGGACAAGATAGACGTAACGAACAGTGTTTCTGTTAAAATTTTGTGAAGTGAGTTAGTTTTTTTTCGTTATTGTAAAAAATGTGTCGATGAACGTCATTAAAATTGATTTCAACTAACAAAATTATAGCCCGTAAACTCATTAGTGCCGTATAGCGATAGCAATGACAATGACGAAGAGTGCTGCGTTGGAGAACGTGGTCTTAAAAGAAAGAATGCCCAGCAAGATATTCAAAAATATATAAATAAAAAAGCAGTGCTTCCCAATCCACTCGTAGTATTTCTCGTAGTGTTTCTGTTAAAATTTTGTGAAGTGAGTTAGTTTTTTTCGTTATTGTAAAAAATGTGTCGATGAACGTCGTTAAAATTGATTTTAACTAACAAAATTATAGCCCGTAAACTCATTAGTGCCGTATAGCGATAGCGATGACAATGACGAAGAGTGCTGCGTTGGAGAACGTGGTCTTAAAAGAAAGAATTCCCAGCAAGATATTCAAAAATATATAAATAAAAAATCAGTGCTTCCCAATCCATGCAAATTAACAAAATGTGGTAACGATTGCCTATCACTGCCCGAAAATGCTAGGCAAAACATCAATGAGCTCTAGTGGGGAATTTCGAATGAAAGAAGGGTGACGTGGCTACTGTCCAATATAAAGCGCAAGGAGGTAAGAAAACGGCGAGCTGGACTTAAAACGAAGTGTGTACATAGGCGCAATTCGACCTTCGAATATTCATTTTCGAATAATGGGAAAATATTCAAAGTTTGTCAAAATTTTTTTATGAAAACATTAAATTTATCTCAAATGGTTATTCGGCACGCATTAAAAAAACAAATATTTGTGAGACCTAGAAAAAAAAAACACCACATAATAAAACTGATGGATCTATAAAAGAAATTGTAAAAGATTTTATAAAAAAATTACCAGCTGTGCCTTCGCACTATTGCCGCAAAAATAATACAAAAGTTTATTTACCCAGCGAATTTAGAAATGTATCAAATTTATATAAATTATACATTCGTTATTTAAATGATCAGGGCTTTAATGACTCATTAGTTTCGTGTCGAATATTTCGAAAAATCTTTAGCACAGAATTTTCAATAGGGTTTCACTGGCCAAAAAAAGATAAATGTAAAACTTGCGAAAACATAAAATATACAAACGAAGAAGAAAGAGAAAAAATTATACGATCGGCGGAATATCAAAATCACATAAGAAATAAAAAACTTAGTATGTCAATGTTTCTCAAGGAACAAGATGACAGTAAAATGTGTCAACAATTTCTTTGCGTTAGTTTTGATTTACAAAAGGTCTTGCATACACCTTTTTCAAAAAATATAACCCTTTTTTTATTCACGCAAATACGCATATTACAACCTCAGTCTATATGAAAGTGGGAGTCGAAATGGGTATTGTTTTTTGTGGGGTGAAGTCGATTGGAAGAGAGGTTGTAATGAAATTTGCTCAGTTCTCTTAAAGTATTTAATTATTTTAGATAGTAAGAAAAAAACAGAACATCTTAGCCTTTATTGTGACAGTTGCGCTGGCCAAAATAAGAATCAGGCAGTGCCAGCAATGTTAGGTTATTTCTTAAGTTCCTCAACTTTTTTAGAAACTATAAAAATTACTTATTTACTGCCTGGACACACTATGATGCCCGTGGATTCGGTACACAGCACTATTGAATCTTTTATACGAAATCGTAATGTATGGGCACCCAGCGAATGGCCGACACTTATTGGAAATGCTAGAACAAATCCAACCGGCTATGAATGTATAGAATTACAGTACACAGACTTTAAAAATTGGAAACGTTTTGCAAACTTTTTATTTAAACGTAAAACATTACATTTAAACAAATTACGAATCGCTATTATTAAAAAATGCCCATTATCAATAGAATTAAATTATGAATATTTTGAATATTCAAAGAAGTATCTTTTTAATTTGCCTAATTCCACCCAAACAATAAAATCATTATATAATTGTAAGCTAATTATTTCTAGGAATAAATTTGATGATCTTAATAATTTATGTAAGCAAAATAGTATACCACCCAGATACCACAATGAATATAAAAGTTTCGGACATTCTTCGAAAGTATTAGATTGTTTAAACGAAACAGATGAAGACGATGATATTTTGGTTTAATTTTTCATAAATATATTACAAATATTTTGTATACAATGTTAATTAATAAAATTTTTGGAAAAATTTCTTAATAAAATTCTAATTTCGCATAATAAATCAAATTTTATTATCGTATGTCGCACGTTGTGCGCAAGGGTATGAAAACAAAGCGTGCAAAATTATCGTATGTAACTATTTTTATATTTTTTCGGGAAATAATGAAAAAAATTAAGTTTTCATTCGTTATTGTAGCTAAAACGACGAAACCTTGAAAAATATTTCCATGATTTTCTCATTCCTAAGAGATTAAATAAAAAAAGCTTCTCCTGTAAAATTTGATTTTTCTACATACGATACAGTCGCGGAAATGCGTCGATATTTTTGAAGAAATTATAACCTTTTCGGAGGGAACACAACTACGAAGTTTTCTGAGGAGAACGTGCATTTGGAGGAACATTTTTGAAGAGCCTCGGCATCAAAGCCCAAGTCGACCCTCTAGGACTCTAGATCTCCGTACCACGAGGTTGGCCAGCCAGTCTCTATACGCCTCCAAGTTCCTTGTGGTGCAATACACTGGTGGGCTGAGCCCAGCCACCACTTCCTGAAATTGAGAAAAATCAATTTATAAAATGTGTCGTTTTTAATAATTTAAGTACCTAGTATTGTTAAGTCTATTGTGCGTTCGTCCAAAGATTCACCCTTGACCGACGGTTGCTAAAATAAAAGAGTCGCGATTAATTAGGATGAAGGAATAGTGTGTGTAAATCTCCCATACCTTTCGGCGTCCCTTCTTTTCCCTTGGAGCTCCTCAGGATTAGGTGACCTACATTTAAAACGCGTAAAACAAGAGAGTTCCGCCGATACAAGGGTGGCAGAACATTTTGTCGGTGAGTGTCCATTCCTTAGTTCTTGAATTTAGCTTTGACCGCTAAATACTTATACGGCGGTTGAGAGTTAATTCTAGGGCCTAATGAACAAATAGATTTTGATTGAATTAATTAGAAGCGAAATGTTATTATACATGAACTTACCTGAAGTATTAAAGACGAGTTTATAATGATGATGAATTGCTAGACCTTTTTCTGTGGGGGAGATGGAGTTATGTAAGTTAGTCGCCTGGAGTGACTTGTTGACCCATTATGGGGGATGCGGGGATTATGCTTACCTAGCATCCTAGGTTGGGTGGGTACGCAGTGGCCAAGACACTGATGGCCACCAAAGATCCGAATTTCCGCCGCCTTGTATTTCAATGTTTACGTTTTTGCTTTGTTTACATTTTGTTAGTGATCGCAGAGAGTTTAGTGTTGTGAGACGACCGTAATCGATGTTAGTATTTTATGTTGTCGCACTGCGGGCATTGGGGAGAACTTGGCCCAAGAAAGCAGTTCGTAACACAGTTTCGCAAACAGTTTTCACCGCTGCCTGAATCTGCTGAAAATCTGTGTTGCCAACTTCACACGCATTTTTTCAAACGAATTTGGAAAAATATGGTGCTTAGTTAGCTTAGGGCACATTTTAGTTACAGCCTGATTTTCCATTTCCCATAATTCTTCTATAGTCTTTGCTACTATCGAATTTCGAATTAAATTTCATAAAAATGTCATTTAATTCTGTCATATGTCAAAAAATTAAAAACTTATTAGAAAAATCATATGGCTGTCATATGTCAAAAATATAAAAACTTATTAGAAAAATCATATGTCTGTCTGATGTCAAAAATATAAAAACTTATTAGATAAATCGACATAGCTTCCCTGTGAGCCTTTTAGCCTTTATGTATTTTGTTCGATACATTTGATAACTGCAAGGGTATATAAGCTTTCGCTTGCCGAACGACGAAAAGTTTGGCTAGTGCTTAGATGATGTACATCAAAAATCACTCAACGCAAATCTAAGTTTTGAGTTGTAGGTTAAAAATTTAAAATATTATAAATATTACTATTTATTCATTATTTTTCGTAATGCTTTTTCCTTAGTTTATTAAATCGTAGGTACTTTTAAGTGTTCCGCGAGACAAAGTGTGTGTATAGACCTTTGCAGTCAGGGGTGGATTAAGGGAATTGGCCGCCCCAGGCAGGTTCGATTTTGCCGCCCCAGATAGCAGCCTAATTTTCGGCATTTCAGCTACTGATGCACTGACCTAAAGTAAACGGTCAGAATTTGAAACCCCTCAAAATTTGCCGCCCTAGGCAGCTTCCTACAAGGTGAGTTCCAAAGTAAACAGGACTTAAAAAAAAAAAAGACAGAACAACAAGTTTTTTCGGCAAAATCAATTTATTTTATTCAAAATAGTCTCCTTCTGCTTTAATACAGCGTTTTGCACGGTCCAAAAGCATGTCGAACGAGTGTTTTAGCTCGTTGCCCGGTATGGCCGCCAGTATGCCGGTGCAAGCCTTTTGAATGGCCTCTACGTCTGCATAACGCTTTCCTTTCATCGGCAAATGCATTTTTCCGAAAAGGTAGAAGTCGCACGGTGCCATATCAGGTGAATGCGGGGGTGGATGATGGTTAAAATGTGATTTTTGGTCAAATAGTCGGACACAAGCGTCGATCGATGAGACGGCGCATTGATAAAATGAACTATTTACCATATATCATAAAGTAGATCTCTATAGTAATCGTAACTTTTAAGTGTAAATAATCCCAAAGAATTGTTAAATGTCTAGCTAAATGCATAAAAGCCTAACAACAGCGTTCTAATTCAATTTCTTCGATTGTTTCTATATGTATACAAGTATTTATTATACACTGGTCGGCATATATACATATATTGACAACATAAAAGTGAAATATACTCGAAACTTGAACTTGCTTCTTTCAACTTTTGGTATCAATGGAAAGGTAATTTAAATGCCGTTTGAATGATACCATACTTTTCTTAACTCATTCGATATTTATTGAAAAGGGCAATTTTTAAAAAAATCTACTTTTTCCCTCGTCTTGAAAACTAAAATTTTTGGATGCAAAAAGTTTCTTTCTTAACTAGTGTAAAGTTTTAAAAAATCTCAACATTTTTTTTTTATATTGCGGTAGATTACACTTTTAAAAATAAATTTAAAATTGAGATCTCAAATAGTTTTTGAGTTATAACAATTTAAAGAGTAGCCGCTCTCATAACAGTGCAAACGATCATTTTATCTTTAAACGCGTTTATCTCGAAACAGCATTTTCCGAATTTTCTGCAGTGATTACTCAAAAACTAATGATCCGATCACTATCAAATTTTTTTACATGTTCTATATATAGTTCTCCGTACCACGGCACTTTTTTTTAGCGCCGTTGGAGATCGACTCTAACTTAAAAAATATTTAATTTTTTTCTTTAAAAAGTGAACTGTATATTCTTAAAAAATGTATAAATTTAGAAAATTTGGAAATAATTGATCAAGTAGTTTTATTTATAAAAATTCCCAAAAATCACCTTTTTTTTAGGCCGTCACACAAGTTCCTTAAACAAAAATAATAGTAACTGCAAAAAGAATTTTTCAAAAATAATTTTTCTTTTATTTTTTATAATTTTTTGAAAATGTTGAGAAATACGCACTTAAGCCATATTTTTCTCTTTTCCATAAAATTTTTTTCCGACATTGTACCCTTCGAAAAATCATAAAAAATTAAAGAAAAATTATTTTTGAAAAATTCTTTTTGCAGTTACTATTACATATTTTTGTTTAAATAAACTTTTTTCATCCAAAAATTTTAGTTAGTAATTCGATAGTACATAATTAGAAAACGTCATCTGGAAGAAATCAAGTCAATTCGAGGAAAAACAACGGCGTAATAATTTTTTTCCTTTATTTTTTTGACCTTTTGTATGGGAGCTATCCGATATATCATAGTCGGACGATTCGGGCCGTTCCGACTTATATACTGCGTGCAATAACTACACAACTTTTTGGTTTTAGCAAGATAGCTTCAAAACTGAGAGACTAGTTCAGGGGCGTAGCTACCGCCGTATATGCCGTATCAATTATACGGGGCCCCCGGGCCAAGGGGGCCCCCAAAGTGTGCAAGAGTGAATATTTAAAATTTTATTTTTATTTTTAAAATGGGTAAATAATGTGATAAATAAATATTTCTTCTCACAATATTTTTTATACCCTTGCAGAGCAAAAGGGTATTATAATTTCAGTCAGAAGTTTGCAACGCAGTGAAGGAGACACCTCAGACCCCATAAAGTATATATATTCTTGATCAGCATCACGCGTAGAATCAGAATACGTCTGCACGTCTGTCCGTCTGTCCGTCTGTCTGTTTCTATGTAAACTAGTCTCTCAGTTTTAAAGCTATCTTGCTAAAACTTTCCCAAAAGGTGTGTAGTTATTGCACGCAGTATATAAGTCGGAACGGGCCGCATCGGCCGACTATATCGGATAGCTCCCATACGAGAGAATGAAATAAAAAATTCTCAGACCGTTGTTTTTGATCAGATCGACTTGATTTCTTCAAGATGCCGTTTTCTAACTGTTATTGAATTTCGGATTAAATTTGATCAAAATCGGATAACTCTAACATATAGCTGTCATAGGAGCGATCGAAAAATATATATAGAATTAATGGAAATAAATTGATAACATCGTTGTTTTTTATCCCACGTGCATGATTTTTTGAGAAACAAGTTTTTTAACCAGCCTTGAATTATAAAAAAATTTCATAACTGGACAACTATATCATATGGCTGCGATAGGAAAAATTAAAAATCGATATAGAATTTACGGAAAAAAATGATAACGTTGTTGTTTTTTTTTTTCAAACGAGCATAGTCTTTGGAATAAAGAGTTTTCTTATGACTCTCGAATTTAAAATTAAATTTCATAAAAATCAGACAACTATATCATATAGCTGTCATATGAACAATTGACGAAAATATGCGGAAATTAATAGAAAAATCGTCATAGCTTCTATGTTGTTTATCCCTTATGTGTGACTGCAACGCTATATAAGCTTCGGACGAAGCTAGCGTCCTTTGTTGTTTTATGTTGTTAATACGTTGTTATTACGCTGTCATGAGATTTATATTATACATATATATTTTTCGATTTGCCTTTAATTGTCAAGCGATATTAAATTGTTTCAGAGTAAATTTTTTTGAACTGTTAGAAAATCTTTTGACCACGTTTGTCCACCTTTTAGGATTTTGAAAAAATTCATACCTTGGAAAAACAGATTTTTGTTAAAAATCTTTATTTCAAGAGGTGTTTCAAGTGATTTTTTTTTAATATCTTAAATTTGGGAAGGAGTTTTTACGTGGGCATACATTTTATTCTTTTTAAATATTTAATTGTTAAGGGGCCGGCAAACGTTAAAAAAAGATCTTTTAACTAACCTTCAATTTTTTAGAAAAGCTTTGAAAGTGGACATTCTTAACGTTGCAATTTTACAAAAATGTTAAGGGTGAGCAATTAAAAGCAATCAATTTTTTAACGATTTTCATTAAAAAAATTTTGTACGATTTTTGTAAGGTTAGAAGATAAAAAACTTTAAAACCCTTTATCTTCCAAAGTTTAAATTTTTTCAGCTTCGTGGTCAAAGATTTTCTAAAATTTAAACAAAATGTGAGAAATTACCATTTTTTTTAAAAGCTTTTCAAAATTTTCTAAATTTCATAATATTGAAACTGGCGGTGGGCAAAAAAAACTGAAAGGTGGACAAACATGGTCAAAAAGGGGTTAAATGTTTCACGTTTCAAATTTAAAACTAAAAAAAAACAACGACGAAAGCTTTGACAAAGCTTTTTTGCAGAGAACTTTTCCTGTATAAATGACTTTCAAAGTTGATATATAGTTGTGCTATTCAGTCCGGAGAAAACCGAATAGAACCAGTTAGAGCAATACCACACTATGCCGTTATACAGGTCTCTTGAAAACTTAGCGGTTCTCTTAAAAGCTCTGGCATCGTCTAAACATCTCTACGTTGCTCGCAAAGCTGCCATCGCATTCCCGACGAGTGCGTATTTTGATCCAACGCCTAAATGCTGGGATGTCCTTAGTCAGTCCAGCATCTTACGGCCAAACAAACAGAGCAAACCTTTGAATGCACCGCAATTTCCCGCGAGTTGCTCTTATCCGCAATTGTGTCGAGAAATCAGCGTGATTCTATTATGAAAACTGTTTTGGAAATACAATTTTGAATTGCAAAACTAAAAAAACGATGGATTTATTTGGCATGCCTTGGTCGCGGTTAGCTTAATAACTTTAAAAAACTTCCGCAAAAAAAAAAAAACAACTATATTTAAAATGTCTGAAATCAATATCTTTATTATCAAAATGTATGAAAATTA